TAAAATGTAAAATGTACATACATTTTGCATATAATAAATTAAGCTTGGATTGAAGATCTCTTGATTCTTATTCCAATACCAGATTTGAATTACGCAATTTCTAACAATTGGTGACCTCCGACTGTGATCTGGTAGCGGAACTTCACTTCGCTGGAATTCACCCAGCCTATTGGACATCACTGTCATCGAACCGTGTTTCACAAATTGCCCGGGCTTCTATAAAGGTAAGCAAAACACCTATTGTAATATAACTGAAGTTTTGCACATTGGCTTTATCCAAATTAATTTTGTGAAGCACCTGTTTGATGTAAGTGAACCCTATTCTACTATAAATAACAATTACAGTATACTATTTCGATTTCATAATATACTATGCAAATGTTTGATAATTGTGATGGTTAAACCCATGGGAGTGCGACGCTATGACTGAGGCTCATAGGAGGCACTTTAAAATAGTTTAGACAGTGCGACGCTATGACTGAGGCTCATAGGAGGTACTTTAAAATAGATTAGACAGTGCGAGCTATGACTGAGGCTCATAGGAGGTACTTTAAAATAGATTAGACAGTGCGACGCTATGACTAAGGCTCATAGGAGGTACTTTAAAAGTTAGACAGTGCGAGTGTTGTCGTATGCATGAGAGTGTGAATGACAAACCTGTATACTTTGTTAGAAAACTAATTGGAAGTTAAAACGTCTGTGGCTGTCCAAACTGTGTAATTTGGGGATAACTGTTGGGTTCGTGATTGTTTAAACCATATAACCCATCAATAACAATTGGGAACAAAGCTAAAGTGATTAATTGTGTGACTGAACTGGTTTTGAATAGTTGTGTTGAAACAATTTGGTTTATTATTTGATTCAGTGTTTGATGTTTGACATAGCATAATACTGGTTCTAGGTGTTTGGGTTAAAGCTTTTTGGTTTATTATTTGATTTAACGTTTGATGTTTGACCCTGCAAAATACTGGTTAAACAATTAGACTGAAATAATTCGGTTTATCGTTGAAATATAAATATGCACCAACTTTAACTAATTAGGTGGGAATGATTTGTTTTAAATAAATAGACTAAAGTAGTTTAAATAACGGCAGAATATTTGGAACACTAAAACGAAAAACAGCTCTTCAAAAGAGCCAGCTCCTCAAAAGCTGAAGAGAGAGAGTTGCGAGGGGAGGGGCTGGAGAGAGCGAAAGTGTGGCTTTTGGAGCGAGGCAAGACTGGAGTTGGCTGGGAACACCACGGGGTGATTATTTGAGAGGTGCCTGTGGGTTTCTGACGAGGGATGAGATGGGTGAGAAAGTAGAGAATATTCACATTTGCATTTTTGGTGATTTGGCAGACGCTCTTGTCCAGAGCGACTTGTAGGAGCGATTGGGGTTGAGTGCCTTGCTCGAGGGCACATCGGCAGATTTTTCGCCTGGTCGGCTCGGGGATTGGAACCGGCGACCTCTCGGTTCTTGGCGCGGCGCTACTGATCACTAAGCTGCCTGCCGCCCCATATGAGTTTAAGGTTGTGGCGTTGTTTGATCATGTGATAAGGTTTAATTTGTAATCGGACCATAACTAAAGTGGTTGTAGAAGTAATGTATAGGTAGGGGAGAGCCAATAAGGGGCTCCATTGAACTATTATGGTTTATTTGGCATTTCAATGGCATAAGGTGAAATCTGTATGCATGAGGGGAATTCGATTATGTATTATTATAGTATTATGGACACTCCGTAATAAATAAACTGAACCAAACAAGACGTTACTACAGCAATAGAGAATAGTTAATGTTGTTACGTTAGTTCTTAAACCCGATGATAGAGGAAAATGCAGAACGCTGTTAGAGTGTGTTTTATTTAGGCTACTAGGGTGTTTGAGACGGAAGGGCTGGCTAGACGGGGGTGATGACGTGGCTGGATGTGCGACGTGAAAGTATTTACTTTGAGAGAATCGTAGATGGTGTGGAGTGACTGGCGATGTCCCTGGTTCGAACACAGGTAGGGACAGTAGACAAAGCTTTCGCGGTGGGGCTATATACCTAGATTACTATGTGGATGTGAAAGGTTGAATTAGATAGCTTAAATAGAAGTATTCTAGAAAGGTCTATGAAAATATGTTATAAGGTTACCATGCGCTTTCCCCGAAGGAGCAAGGGGAGGGTGAGAGACAGTACAGTTCAGATGGTAGGAACATCATTAAATGTATGCTTATCAACGATAGCAAGTATTTGTTTTATTAATTAGGGCATAATCAGAGAGAACAGTTAAATAAATTGAATAGCGAACTGAAATGGTTTAGCGGGAAAATATAAATGTTTGGTACATGTAGCAGAGTTAGGGTAATCAATTAAATAATAATTGTATACTCGAGGAATTTTGAGTGGTTTTATAGATTAGTTATGAGGAATTAGATTGATACAAACAATTATTGATGGGTTAAGACTGGGGATAACCAGGAGAAAGAGATTAGCTCATCTCGTTGGAATGTTGCCAAGGGCTAGGGGAGCAGTAGTGAAGTTAGGCCGTATTTAGGTCATAAAAGTGAACTACCAAATTAAGGCCTGGCTATTTGTGGTTGTTTTTCAAATTGGGTTTTCAAATAAAAAACAACACACCTAGTATGATGTTTATAAAGCCTTGTTGTTTCAATTTTGGGGGGTTTCAGCAGGTCAAGGGTGATAGGTCTTAGAGGAGCACACAGTGAATTTTATGGAGTTTTTTTTTTTTTAGCTTTTGGCTGAGTTTGGGGTATATATGATTTCTTATGAGAATGAATGTCATGAGGATTTAATGAACACTTGGGATAGCTAACATTTATGAAATATTTAGAATAATGGTAATGTTTAGTATACTATGGGATTAAACAGTTCGTTAAATGATTTCAATGGCCTCTGAACTCTGTTTTAACATTCTGGTGTTATTTTAATCATCCACACTAGTAAATTCTAAAGGCATGAGAGGAGGACTTTAAGATAGTTTATTTTACTAAGTTGAGGGTAATTTATAGTACTGTGAAAATTGTGAAGAAGATTATAATTTGGTGATAATATATTTGATTTGAACCATAAAATAACAGAAGAGAGAGTGGAGGAATGGCAATTGGATAATGAATTACCAATATTAACTAAAGTGATTGTTTAGATAGGTGGTAATATTGACACATGGCCAAATCATGTGTCAAAAAGGGGGATGGTTGGATTAAATATTAAATATATACGAAGGAGAGGACAAAATACTTTAAAAAAAACAAAAAAACATGTATGATAGTTTATTAACCACACCTGTATGTCAGAGGTTTTGTGCCCCATAGGTGAACTAAAGGAGAAGGTGACCCACTCTATCTAACCAGGAGACTGAAGCAGGCCTGGCGGGAAGGGCCCTACCAAGTACTGCCTTTGCCAGCAGAATAGCTGAGAGATCCATTTGGGTGCATGTCACACACTGTAAAAAGGCAAAACCAGCTACACCTGACGAACAAACACAGAGTTAGGAGAAAGATCCGATCACCACTAGGGTTCGGGGGTTGCCTCCTTAACGAAGATTCCCTTACCCTGTCTGATCATCCCTGTGTGAGTTCGATAGAAGGTAAAGCAATGGGTTGGCCTCTGGCATCTGACATCTGACATGAGCTCAGGGCAAGGGTGGGGATTCACAGGTCTCCCGACGGTAGGTAGCTGTCTGATTGTGGGGGCCATATTCCTAACACACACACGGACCCTCCTGTTTCAGCCAGAAGTGGTAGTTAACCTAACACAAGTTGAAAAGGCATAGGAGACAGCTAGACGTAGGGAAAGGGGAAATTCTAGGGACTTTAGGGAAGGACATCACCATATGTATGTCACCATGTACATCCTGGGACTATGTAGTTGATTATACCAAGCGGGGGGGAATATGTCAATCTCCATACACAGTTTAAGGACAGGTGGAGTATTGTGAAAGTAGGGAATTACCAGAAAATGGCAGTGCGACCCATATGAGGGTAGGTACTGTCTGAAAGTCTGAATTATGCTAAAACAGATTACAGACCTGACAAGTGAGATATCTTCTTCAACTGGAGAGTCTTATGGTAACTTGCACTGTTTCCCCCGATAACAAAGTCATTCCGACCTGGGTTGCCTCAGTTTGAAGTCACATGGGATTCTTATTGTTTTTCTAGGACTAATAAGATAGGATACAGGGTAGGGCATCTTAGCTCCTGCTCCCACACAGAGAATGTCACAACTAAAAGAGACCATGACTAATCTCTCCTCTTTGTTGCAGCCAGAGGATTTTAGGACCCAAAACCAGACCCGTGCTGACATCTGATGGATGTGTGGTGATAACTGATTGTGAACTCAACTACATATGTAAACAATCAAACGTGTCAGAGACTGGTGAGTTGTCACGTAGAAAGTAGGACCTCCAGGAATCCTTTGATGAAAGGATATATATATTGATGGGATAGGAGTACCCCGAGGGGTTCCAGAACAATTAAAAGCTAGGAATCAGATCGCAGCTGGGTTTGAATCAAGTATTTTCTGGTGGTCAACAATTAATAAAAATGTAGATTGGATAAATTATATTTAATATAACCAGCAAAAGATGTATAAACCACACTCGTGATGCAATAAAGGGATTAGCTGAGCAGACAGCGGCAACTAGCTTAATGACATGGCAGAATAGAATAGCTTTAGATATGCTTTTGGCTGAGCGGGACGGGGTTTGTGTTCTGTTTGGATATATGTGCTGTACTTTCATCTCCAACAATATAGCACCGGACGGGCCCGTGACCAAAGCGCTTGAGTGACCATCACCACGCTGGCGAACGAACTGGTTGAGAACTCTGGTATTGATAGCTCCATAAACGGTTGGTTTGATAACATATTTGGTAAATGGAAAACTATTGTTGTGACTATTCTGGGTGAAGTTATAGCTTCTATGGGTATACTTGTTCTTTGTGGGTGTTGTCTTATTTCCTGGCCGAGTGACTGGTTTGGTGAGTACTCTTCTATGGTGGTTACTGGATTTCTGACCCTAGTAATTGTGTTTTTGCTGTTAATGTGTTGTGCTGCTTGCATCGTCCCCTGTCTCAGGAGGTCAGTGGTAGGAGTGGTGCAGGCGTCAGGTATGATGCTGTTGTTACCGGCCCAGGATGATGCGGGTGACTCTGCTACTGACTCTGAGACCAAGCTGGATGATCCATGGTTTGCCTAGTAAAATACATACACGCATTTATTTTTAGTTCTTGCTCATTTATTACCTTATGTTTTTACTAACCACTGTGATTGTTTATTCTTCCTGATGTGAAGGTAAAGGATTCCTGGGTGGCTGGTAGCCAACTCAGTACATGTTAGGTGTAGGGGAGGAATAGAGGGTTTAAATTATTATTTTTTATTTTTTATTCATATTAAATGTTGTGATTTAATTTCCATATCCTGTTATTCTTAAGGGTGATTATAATCTGTTTAGAGTGACACCATAAATGGTGTCAAAAGAGGGAATTCTAAAATTTCCCTTTAAAAATCTTTAATCACACTCTAGAGTTTTAATAATCTTGTATTTTGTGTTCTATTAATCCTGTGTTTTATGCTTTATTAATCAAGTTAACCATGTGAATGTTTGTCTTTCCTTATGTGATGGTTTGAACTTCTTTGATGACTGGTAACAGTTTGCAAGTTGGGTGTCGATGGAAGGACTTTTATTATCAAATTGTCTATTAATAAAAGTGTTTATTTTTGTTTGTATTGTATTTTAATGAGTGACACCCTAGAGGGTGTCAAAAGGGGGAATTGATGGGTTTTATTTTTTAATTGGATTTGTATGTGATGAATAGCTTGGAAGGAATGCATTAATGAGGAGCTCTGTACTGATATGGATTGTTTCACATAACAGGCTGATAAGAACACTCTCTCTTTGATGTCTGTGAAACTGTCCTTGAACCTGGCTACAGTGGATTTTGTGTATTTTCGGTGCTGACTCCGCAGGTTATTATCATAGCAACTATGCCTTGTAACAAATGGAACGGATTGGCTGAAATGGAGTCTGGACCACACTCAGTCCTTTGCTCTGGTTGGCCAACAGAAGAAGTGGAGGATTTCTGTCAGAGTATTTTAAGAAGAACTTAGAACAATGGATTAGTTAACTGAGTGCCCTGTGTGGTATTTCAGTGGACCCGTATATACGAACCTTCATACTTATCATACATACATTTTGCATATAATAAATTAAGCTTGGATTGAAGATCTCTTGATTCTTATTCCAATACCAGATTTGAATTACGCAATTTCTAACACAACTGACAACTGTACCAGGACGAGGATCAATTGATGTTTACTGATCATGAAAAGCATGCAGTTACATGTTGTATAACTCTGATGATAGAGATAAATGTAAATCAGATAATCAGAAACGTGTAGTTCTGACTATGCTCTTCAAGAGGTGATGATATTAAAACCAAATAGTTATAACATATAACAATCCCTTGAAAATGGCACGTAGTTGTCATTGTTTTTTTGGCCCATTGTTTACCTTGTTACCTGGCAACGACTACAAGGGTGTTTCAAAAAGCTGTCAGTCAAGGCGAGCTCATGAATATAAGCTCCCTGACCACTCCGCCTGTTCTTTCAGGCTTCCTGATCGTTAGAGATGAGAGAAAAGGTGCAGTATCTTCAATTCTGAGCATTTTAATAGTGTACAAATATTATGGGTGATGTTTTGGTCATTCAGGCAAATTTTTGGGGGGAAATAGGTTGACTGTGCTGTACCTTTAATATTTATAAAATGATGAATCACTGATTCAAGTAATTTGAGTTACCTACCCAATAACTGCATCAGTCACTTCTCTAGTGTAATTTATTTCAGTGCATTAGCTGCAGACTGGACACTTCCATTTAAATTTGTTTCAGGTTGCTTTTGTACTAAGAGTTAAATAACTTGATATGTGTCCCAAATGGCACCCTATTCCCTATATAGAGGTGCCCTGGTTAAATAGTGTCATTTCTAGGAGTGCATTAGTTCCACAGTCTGGAGACTTCAATTTTATTTGCTTCAGGTTGCTTTTGTACTAAGAGTTGAATAACTTACCCCTGACGGAGCACCTCCGTGCCAGTTCCCAGAACACCAGGCCCAGGGAGTAGATGTCGGCCCGCTTGAATGACTCAAAGCTGCTCATATTGATCGTGTCATCCAGCAGTTCTGGGGCCATGTACCTGCCAAGAGAGAGGATACACTTGTTAACTCCTAATTAACTGGGTTTTAGGGTGAGAGAGTAAACAATGATGCATCTGTCCTTTAGAAGAAGAAGACTCAATGTCCTGGCAGAGATACACAGACAGGCAGCAGGCACACAGAGATACACAGAGTCATTTTATTATTATAGAGACAGGGCTCCATGTGAGCTGCGGTCCCATCACTATGTTTACAGTTTACAAGCAAAGCATATGGTGGCCCTAAAAAAAGGAACTCTGAATGATGGAGAGAGCATGTGGAAGGGGATACCTGTCGGTTAGCCATCAATTTCCTAAACAAAACGAGGGCGAGTGATATGAGGTAAAGACTTGGTGTGTGTACCAAATGGCACCCTATTCCCTAGTACACTACTTTAGATAAGAGCTGTGGCTTTTGGGACGTACTCAAAGTCAATGTGAGACCTTCCTGATCATCGTCCCAATATTTCTCCCTCCATCTCTCTAAAAGGACATATAAATATAAAATATTAATATTTAAATAAGAGGTAGATCAAAGTGGCCAATACACATGCCCATGCTCCGTCATTGCTCTTGTCTCTCTTCTCTCAGGTAAAAGCTGCCTAGTTACCTCTTTGTTCCTACTCTGTGATTGGACGGTATGTCGATGGTGTTGGTGCTGGAGTCGTGTTTCACAGCCAATCCCAGGTCTGCTATGACAGCTGTCCCATTCTTCTTCACCAGGATGTTTTTAGACTTGATGTCTCTGTGGGCAATGGCAGGTTTCCCTGTAAGACAGATCCCAAATTATAGTTATATTACATGTTATTTCAACTTGCTAACGTGACACATGGGGTTTGCAAAATAGAATAATAGATGTACATATTACAATACAGTCATTTCAATAACTTGCTAACAGGATACATGGATTGATGTTTGTGGTCACTGTTTTATGACCCTTGCAAAACAGACGTCCGGTGCTAACAATCGATTAACAGTAGTACTGTGTAAACATCTGATACAAAGAAACCCCATTCAGAAGAAAATACAGTATGTGTTATATTGTAATTATAGAAGTAGGGCTTTGGTTCTGAATGTGACAAGGTCACTACAGCATGTAACTAGCAACACAAAGAAGTGTGCTTGGGAGTGTAGCTTTTCAAAGAATAAGAAAGCGCTCCATGAAAGAGGATTTTCTGCTGTTAGTGCTTTGTTACAGTAGGAGGCCCTCACCTAGTCACAGTGAGTAATCTTCTGACCTTTCGTAAATAAATACATGTCAATCCTGTGGGATGTTAAAAAGATTATCTATAGCGGGAATGGCATCATTGCAACACTAGATTGACAGATACACAGGTCTGCAGTTGGTACTGGATTGGAGGCTACTATAATGCACTACAAATAAGAGCCTAGGGCATGGTATATCTGTGGAGCTGTGGCTAGGACCTGGGAGCTGTAGTGCCCGATCTAGTCAGAGAGGATTGCGGTGCCAGTCCCTCACCCTGAGTGCCAATGATCTCCATGTGGAGGTGTGCCAGGCCGCTGGTGATGGACAAGGCCAGGACGATCATGCCGTCCACAGACAAAGTGTACCTGTTCAGGTAGTCAAACAGAGAGCCGTGCTCGTGGTACTCTGACACCAGCCACAGCTGAGTCCAAGAGCCGTTATCTGCAACACAAACAGCAGAGGGCATACACCTGGGGTTAGTGTATGTGTACAGTCTTATTGAGAACGTTGGTCTCACATGGTCAAAACAATAGAGATGACCCTGGTCAAAAGTAGTGCACTTAATAGGGAACAGGGTGCCATTTGGGACTCTGAAATTGTGTCAATAAGTACCCTTGTTATCGGCTGCGATGAATCCCAGGATGTTCTCGTGTCGGAGCATGATGGTCTGGTAGATCTCTGCCTCTCTGAACCAGGACCTCTCGTCTCGGGATGAAAAGATCTTCACCGCCACGTCCTCCCCTCGCCACTTCCCTCGCCACACCTCCCCGAAGCGGCCCTTCCCAATGGTCTCCTGCAGCACGATGGTCCGAGCTATTGTCCGCTGTACCAGCAGCGGCAAGCCCTGTGAAACAAAAACTAAATCAGGATTTCGTGTTACAAACGATCTGCCTCTCACTTCCTGCCCAATGTGGCCATATCAAGCAAATAAAATGGTGTTCAATATTAAAACAGCAAATTGATTCAAAACACTACACTCACTATGAGGTCTATCTATCATAGCACCATTACCTGCTCTCCTCTGGTGTGCGCCTAAATGGAATCACCATTACAGACCCATTGACTTGAAAAGGGATGTCCGTTCTAGTGATTCTATTTCTATGACTGTAAATGCATTTATATACTCTCTCTTACCAGAGCCTGAGCCTGACGTGCTCATGTCGTAGATGAGGTCTTTAATACACTTGTCGGGGGACATGAGACTCTGGTCATCCAGGGGCTCGTCCACGTCATTCTTGTGGGCCCTGTTGTAGGCACAGAGCTGGCCCTGCATCACACACACCCCCAGCAGGATGCTCACACACAGCAGGGCAGAGGGAACCAGGATGACCGCTGCCAGCTCCAGCCTGCCCCAGCCGGGCTCCTCCGATGCCCTCTCTACATAGCCTACACAACACAGACACAGCAGCATACTATGTATTCTAAAACAGAGGGCCACATTCAGTAACAAGACTTGATCAGTAGATTCATGTGCAATGGCCCACACATTTGTGATATAAGATTTTTTAAAGGTGGATGGAGAATGTTTAGGGATGGAAAAAAAGGATACATAGGTAATTACTTCTCATGATCCCTATGCCCTAGTGGTCCTTTTCAACTTTATTCATTAACCCATTACTGCCAACAACGTACAGTACATAAGTTGTAGTAAAACACTGTACCAGCTTGTCTCCCATAAACGACGGCACCATTCGTTCACAGAAGCTAACAATGTAATGAATGTGGGTGGTCCCAAGATGGCAAACCTTTTACCCATATAGTGCATATTTTGGTTTAAAAAACAATTGTAGAAGCCGTAATAAATATGCGGCAAACAAGTAGCTATTGGTGCAGTGTTGAACACTTGTCTGCCCGGTATAAACAGTTGCTGCTAACCAATTGTTTTGCCCCATCCAGTGGCGAAATTTGGAACAGATTATTAATTGAAAAATGCAGTGCAATGTTTTTTATTTTTTTATTTTATTTTAATCATCTCGCGGGCCGGATAAACCTGTTTGCGGGCCTGATCCGGCCCGCACGTTTGACACCCCTGTCCTAGATATTATTGTTAAGACAAAGTTGCTATGTTGATGTGATAGGATACTAACACATATATGGGAAATGCTATAACTAAACAAAAGTGGGGAGCATTGTTTATAAAGAAATACACCCCAGTTCAGGGAGCGTCATGACAGTAGGTAAATAAATATGGGACATTTTGGGAATTTGGGAATCCTGAATGTTTGTATGAAGTTGTTCCTGGGGGTGGATGGGCCTGCCATGGTTACAAAGCCTAATAGAAAAACTTGGAGGTTAATTTAGAGGAAAACCTTCCAAACTTGTATCCAATACCTGACTGGGCTCTGGGTCCTCATCAGGATGGGTCAAACAATGAGGAATATATATTGGTTTAAATATATGCATATGAAAAGTAACCACATATGGCAAGGATAAGATAAGTAAATGCGCATGCTTACATTCATAAAAAAATTAATCTTTGTATTATTTGGGACATTGTTGGAATGTCCCAAAGGGGGGAATTATATGGTAATATTTTATGTATCATTAAGGAAAATGTTGGGAAATGTCTAATTTACTAATTGACAAAAAACCTTTGTCAAAAAATAAATGTTTAAAAAAGGGTATATCTTCGTAAATGTCATCATCGGTAGGACTGGTGGAATTATGTCACACATGCAGCTAACAAAAACATATGGAAATGTCTGCTCTACCCAAAATTACAACCAAATAATTGCAGCCTTACCGCAAAAGTGGAAGAGGAATGTGGAAGGGGGAGAAAGTAAGGAACCTTGTCTGTCGGCCTTGCATTAAATAACATAATTGGTTAAGGAAAACTGTGATAAATAAAAAAGTATATCAGTTTCACTTAAGGACCAAAGGATTGACAGCCGTCCCATATAAATTGCAAAATAGTTGGGAAGAGATTTTTGACGTACCGATCCCATGGCATAGTGTTTATGAACTGACACGCAAAACGACACCGGATTCAAAAATTAGAATCTTACAATTTAAATTATTATATTAAATTATTGCTACCAATAGAATGTTATTTATATGGGGGATACAATCTTCCCAGCTCTGCAGATTTTGCTGTGAAGAGACAGAATCATTAGATCATTTGTTTTGGTTCTGTCCATTTGTAGCTTGTTTTTGGACACAGGTCCAGGAATGGCTAAAGGATTGCAATATTTACCTGGAGCTAACCTTGCAGATAGCATTACTGGGTGATCTGAAAAGTCATAGTCAGTCGATCAATAATATAATAATACTTTTAGCAAAAATGTTTATTTTTAAATCACAATCTGTAGAAGCAATGAGAACAGAAAGGTTCAGAACTTTTGTAAAACATCACAGTACGGTTGAAATATATATGGCAAATAGAAATCCTATATGGATGGTGTTAAGAGATGGGAGGTGTTGAATGGAGTTGAAGGATGGGACTAATAACAAATAATAACAAGATAACTAATAATGTAAGCATACTGTGTCCATAATAAGTATATAGGTTGTATGTTGGGAGCTTTTGGGAAAGAGCACAGTTAGAAAGATATGGCATATAGAAGCAAACCGGATGGACATCATGAAAATGATCGGAGAGGTTGAGAGTAGAAGCAAAAATAAATAAAATATAAATATTGTAAAATTGACTGTGTCCATAAGGTGTAGATAGTAAGTATAGGCTGGAAGTAGAGGCCTGGGCATTGTTGTTCACTAATTTACCCCAAGTAGGGAAAGGATGGTGGGGTTGAAAAGTAATAAAGGGGAGTATATATATATAAAAAAAAACATGGGGGATTGGAAGTGATGCAGACAATTACATTGATGGAAGTTACAATCTATCTGCAATATTAAGCTGATCTACCCCCCCCCCCCCCCCCAAAAAAAAAAACAAGCCAAACAAGAGTCAAGATCCCACAACATAGGTAGGCAAAATGGCTACCTAAGTATGATCCCCAATCAGAGACAACGATCGACAGCTGCCTCTGATTGGGAACCACACCCGGCCAACATAGAAATACAATAACATAGAATCTATACATAGAAAGTCACACCCTGACCAAACCAACGAGAAACAACAGGCATTTAAAAAAGGTTAGGGCGTGACAGTACCCCCCCCAAAAAGGTGCGGACTCCAGCCGCAAAACCTAACTTAACAGGGGAGGGTCCGGGTGGGCATCTAGCCTCGGTGGCGGCTCCGGCTCCGGGCCTGACGTCCTCTCCCTTACTGCCTCCCCGTTGCATCCCTGGTCCGGTCTGGACCTCGGCATGATGCTTCCCCTCTCAGTCCTCCCACGATGCACCAAGCCCTGTCTGGACCCTGGTGTGGGAGGCCCCGACCCTGGAGAGGGGTTGACGTCTGGTTCTGGAGTGGAGCTGCTGACCGGAGCTGGACTGGGCACCGGTGGAGCAGACAGCTCTGGCACTGGAGTGGAGCAGCTGACCAGAGCTGGACTGGGAACCAGTGGAGCGGACTGCTCTGGCACCAGCCGTACCAGGCTGGGGACACACACCACTGGTCTGGTGCGAGGAACAGGCATGGGCCGCACCGGGCTGGGAACACGCACCACTGGTCTGGTGCGAGGAACAGACATGGGCCGCACCGGGCTGGGAACACGCACCACTGGTCTGGTGCGAGGAGCAGGCACGGGCCGTGCCGGACTGGGAACACGCACCACTGGTCTGGTGCGAGGAGCAGGCACGGGCTGTGCCGGACTGGGAACACGCACCACTGGTCTGGTGCGAGGAGCAGGCACGGGCTGTGCCGGACTGGGAACACGCACCACTGGTCTGGTGCGAGGAGCAGGCACGGGCCGTGCCGGACTGGAGACACGCACCACTGGTCTGGTGCGAGGAGCAGGCACGGGCGTACCGGGCTGGCGACACGCACCACTGGGCTGGTGCGAGGAGCAGGCACGGGGCGTACCGGGCTGGCGACACGCACCACTGGTTTGGTGCGAGGAGCAGGTATGGGCCGTACCGGACTGGATACACACACCACTAGTTTGGTGCGGGGAGCAGGTACGGGGCGTACCGGGCTGGGGAGGCGCACTGGTGACACAGTGCGTAGAACCGGAGCAGGATATACTGGACCGTGGAGGCGTACTGGAGGTCTGGAGTGTAAAGCTGGCACAACCCATCCTGGCTGGATGCCCACTTTCGCACGACACGTGCGGGGTGCTGGCACAGGACGCACTGGACTGTGAAGGCGCACTGGTGACACTACGTATCTCCGCATAACTAGGTTCCTCAATGAACACACGCTCCTTCTGTTGCCTGGCCAGCTCCTCTCTCCGTGCATCCACTAATTCCTTCTCCCTACGGGCATCCTGCAGCGCCTCCTTTTGAAGGAAGCTCTCCTGCTCTCGGTAATTTTCCCCCAACCGAGGAGGACATCTACCAAGGTTGCTTCCCGCTGTGTCCAGGGTGTTTGCTCCTCCTGGGCACGTTGCTTCGTCCGTTGGTGGTGGGATCTTCTGTCACGTTTGTTGAGTACAGGATTGGACCAAGGTGCAGCGTGGAATGCATACATGTTTATTTATTAATTAAACACCGACAAAACAACAAAAGCAACGTAACGTGAAGCTCACAATGGCTACACACAAACAAGCGTCAAGATCCCACAACATAGGTAGGCAAAATGGCTACCTAAGTATGATCCCCAATCAGAGACAACGATCGACAGCTGCCTCTGATTGGGAACCACACCCGGCCAACATAGAAATACAATAACATAGAATCTATACATAGAAATTCACACCCTGACCAAACCAACGAGAAACAACAGGCATTTAAAGGTCAGGGTGTGACAATAAGCCACCTCCAACATCGTTTTAGACAATTTGGCAGTACGTCCAACCGGCCTCACGACCGCAGACCACGTGTAACCACGCCAGCCCAGGACCTCCACATCCGGTTTCTTCACCTGCGGGATCGTCTGAGACCAGCAACCCGGACAGCTGGTGAAACTGTGGGTTTGCACAACCAAATAATTTCTGAACAAATTGTCAGAAACCTCCCAGGGAAGCTTATCTGCGTGCTTATCATCCTCACCAGGGTCTTGGCCTGACTGCAGTTCGGCGTCGTAACCGACTTCAGTGGACAAATGCTCACCTTCGATGGCCACTGGCACGCTGGAGAAGTGTGCTCTTCACGGATGAATCCTGGTTTGTATGGCGTTGTGTGGGCGAGCGGTTTGCTAATGTCAACGTTGTGGACAGAGTGCACCATGGTGACGGTGGGGTTATGGTATGGGCAGGCATAAGCTACAGACAACAAACAATTGCATTTTATCGATAGCAGTTTGAATGCACAGAGATACCGTGACGTGATCCTGAGGCCCATTGTCGTGCCATTCATCCGCCACCATCACCTCATGTTTAAGCATGATAATGCACGGCCCCATGTCGCAAGGATCCGTACACAATTGCTGGAAGCTGAAAATGTCCCAGTTCTTCCATCGCCTTTATACTCACCAGACATGTCACCCATTGAGCATGTTTGGGATGCTCTGGATAGGCGTGTAAGACAGCGTGTTCCAATTCCCACCAATATCCATCAACTTGGCACAGCCATTGAAGAGGAGTGGGACAACATTCCACAGGCCACAATCAACAGCCTAATCAACTCTATGCGAAGGAGGTGTCGCGCATGAGGCAAATGGTGGTCACACCAGATACTGACTGGATTTCATATGCCCTCCCAGGCCCACCCATGACTGCGCCCCTGCTCAGTCATATGAAATCCATAGATTTTGGCCTAATGAATTTATTTCAATTGACTGATTTCCTTATATGAACTGTAACTCAGTAAAATCTTTGAAATTGTTGCATGTTGCATTTATATTTTTGTTCAGTGTAATTACAAAACAATAGAAATGCAATTGTGTATTGCTGCTGTTTGTCTGATACCCAACAGTCCATGATCAGCTCTGTTGACCATGAGAGAATTTTGCAGAGAAAATGGGGTAACTTATACTATAGGTCATTATGAATAAAACATCACAATAAGGTGCAGAGCATTCGATTTTCCTGCTGGGGGGCAAGGAGACACTAAGCTCCGCTACAACCATTGACAACTGCGTGCTGTTTTTTATTTGTTTGTAATATCGTCACCTCTTGAAGAGCATAGTCAGAACTACTCATTTGTGATTATTCCATCCAAAACAATTGCGAACATTTAGCTATAGGCCTGTCAGAGTTACACAGCAAGTAACTTCATGCTTTTCATGATACATTGATTGATGGACCACGTCAAATTGGCTAGCTAGCTAATAACAGATCAAGTGCAGTTGGCTAGTTAACAAGCTAACTTTCAGGGGATAAACTAGATGGCTAGGCTATATTTGCTTTGCTTCTATAGTGGTGATGACAGTAGTCCAACTGATGGGTTTTATTTTTTAATTGGATTTGTATGTGATGAATAGCTTGGAAGGAATGCATTAATGAGGAGCACTGTACTGATATGGATTGTTTCACATAACAGGCTGATAAGAACACTCTCTCTTTGATGTCTGTGAAACTGTCCTTGAACCTGGCTACAGTGGATTTTGTGTATTTTCGGTGCTGACTCCGCAGGTTATTATCATAGCAACTATGCCTTGTAACAAATGGAACGGATTGGCTGAAATGGAGTCTGGACCACACTCAGTCCTTTGCTCTGGTTGGCCAACAGAAGAAGTGGAGGATTTCTGTCAGAGTATTTTAAGAAGAACTTAGAACAATGGATTAGTTAACTGAGTGCCCTGCGTGGTATTTCAGTGGACCCGTATATACGAACCTTCATACTTATCATACATACATTTTGCATATAATAAATTAAGCTTGGATTGAAGATCTCTTGATTCTTATTCCAATACCAGATTTGAATTACGCAATTTCTAACACAACTGACAACTGTACCAGGACGAGGATCAATTGATGTTTACTGATCATGAAAAGCATGCAGTTACATGTTGTATAACTCTGATGATAGAGATAAATGTAATCAGATAATCAGAAACGTGTAGTTCTGACTATGCTCTTCAAGAGGTGATGATATTAAAACCAAATAGTTATAACATATAACAATCCCTTGAAAATGGCACGTAGTTGTCATTGTTTTTTTGGCCCATTGTTTACCTTGTTACCTGGCAACGACTACAAGGGTGTTTCAAAAAGCTGTCAGTCAAGGCGAGCTCATGAATATAAGCTCCCTGACCACTCCGCCTGTTCTTTCAGGCTTCCTGATCGTTAGAGATGAGAGAAAAGGTGCAGTATCTTCAATTCTGAGCATTTTAATAGTGTACAAATATTATGGGTGATGTTTTGGTCATTCAGGCAAATTTTTTTGGGGAAATAGGTTGACTGTGCTGTACCTTTAATATTTATAAAATGATGAATCACTGATTCAAGTAATTTGAGTTACCTACCCAATAACTGCATCAGTCACTTCTCTAGTGTAATTTATTTCAGTGCATTAGCTGCAGACTGGACACTTCCATTTAAATTTGTTTCAGGTTGCTTTTGTACTAAGAGTTAAATAACTTGATATGTGTCCCAAATGGCACCCTATTCCCTATATAGAGGTGCCCTGGTTAAATAGTGTCATTTCTAGGAGTGCATTAGTTCCACAGTCTGGAGACTTCAATTTTATTTGCTTCAGGTTGCTTTTGTACTAAGAGTTGAATAACTTACCCCTGACGGAGCACCTCCGTGCCAGTTCCCAGAACACCAGGCCCAGGGAGTAGATGTCGGCCCGCTTGAATGACTCAAAGCTGCTCATATTGATCGTGTCATCCAGCAGTTCTGGGGCCATGTACCTGCCAAGAGAGAGGATACACTTGTTAACTCCTAATTAACTGGGTTTTAGGGTGAGAGAGTAAACAATGATGCATCTGTCCTTTAGAAGAAGAAGACTCAATGTCCTGGCAGAGATACACAGACAGGCAGCAGGCACACAGAGATACACAGAGTCATTTTATTATTATAGAGACAGGGCTCCATGTGAGCTGCGGTCCCATCACTATGTTTACAGTTTACAAGCAAAGCATATGGTGGCCCTAAAAAAAGGAACTCTGAATGATGGAGAGAGCATGTGGAAGGGGATACCTGTCGGTTAGCCATCAATTTCCTAAACAAAACGAGGGCGAGTGATATGAGGTAAAGACTTGGTGTGTGTACCAAATGGCACCCTATTCCCTAGTACACTACTTTAGATAAGAGCTGTGGCTTTTGGGACGTACTCAAAGTCAATGTGAGACCTTCCTGATCATCGTCCCAATATTTCTCCCTCCATCTCTCTAAAAGGACATATAAATATAAAATATTAATATTTAAATAAGAGGTAGATCAAAGTGGCCAATAAACATGCCCATGCTCCGTCATTGCTCTTGTCTCTCTTCTCTCAGGTAAAAGCTGCCTAGTTACCTCTTTGTTCCTACTCTGTGATTGGACGGTATGTCGATGGTGTTGGTGCTGGAGTCGTGTTTCACAGCCAATCCCAGGTCTGCTATGACAGCTGTCCCATTCTTCTTCACCAGGATGTTTTTAGACTTGATGTCTCTGTGGGCAATGGCAGGTTTCCCTGTAAGACAGATCCCAAATCATAGTTATATTACATGTTATTTCAACTTGCTAACGTGACACATGGGGTTTGCAAAATAGAATAATAGATGTACATATTACAATACAGTCATTTCAATAACTTGCTAACAGGATACATGGATTGATGTTTGTGGTCACTGTTTTATGACCCTTGCAAAACAGACGTCCGGTGCTAACAATCGATTAACAGTAGTACTGTGTAAACATCTGATACAAAGAAACCCCATTCAGAAGAAAATACAGTACGTGTTATATTGTAATTATAGAAGTAGGGCTTTGGTTCTGAATGTGACAAGGTCACTACAGCATGTAACTAGCAACACAAAGAAGTGTGCTTGGGAGTGTAGCTTTTCAAAGAATAAGAAAGCGCTCCATGAAAGAGGATTTTCTGCTGTTAGTGCTTTGTTACAGTAGGAGGCCCTCACCTAGTCACAGTGAGTAATCTTCTGACCTTTCGTAAATAAATACATGTCAATCCTGTGGGATGTTAAAAAGATTATCTATAGCGGGAATGGCATCATTGCAACACTAGATTGACAGATACACAGGTCTGCAGTTGGTACTGGATTGGAGGCTACTATAATGCACTACAAATAAGAGCCTAGGGCATGGTATATCTGTGGAGCTGTGGCTAGGACCTGGGAGCTGTAGTGCCCGATCTAGTCAGAGAGGATTGCGGTGCCAGTCCCTCACCCTGAGTGCCAATGATCTCCATGTGGAGGTGTGCCAGGCCGCTGGTGATGGACAAGGCCAGGACGATCATGCCGTCCACAGACAAAGTGTACCTGTTCAGGTAGTCAAACAGAGAGCCGTGCTCGTGGTACTCTGACACCAGCCACAGCTGAGTCCAAGAGCCGTTATCTGCAACACAAACAGCAGAGGGCATACACCTGGGGTTAGTGTATGTGTACAGTCTTATTGAGAACGTTGGTCTCACATGGTCAAAACAATAGAGATGACCCTGGTCAAAAGTAGTGCACTTAATAGGGAACAGGGTGCCATTTGGGACTCTGAAATTGTGTCAATAAGTACCCTTGTTATCGGCTGCGATGAATCCCAGGATGTTCTCGTGTCGGAGCATGATGGTCTGGTAGATCTCTGCCTCTCTGAACCAGGACCTCTCGTCTCGGGATGAAAAGATCTTCACCGCCACGTCCTCCCCTCGCCACTTCCCTCGCCACACCTCCCCGAAGCGGCCCTTCCCAATGGTCTCCTGCAGCACGATGGTCCGAGCTATTGTCCGCTGTACCAGCAGCGGCAGCCCTGTGAAACAAAAACTAAATCAGGATTTCGTGTTACAAACGATCTGCCTCTCACTTCCTGCCCAATGTGGCCATATCAAGCAAATAAAATGGTGTTCAATATTAAAACAGCAAATTGATTCAAAACACTACACTCACTATGAGGTCTATCTATCATAGCACCATTACCTGCTCTCCTCTGGTGTGCGCCTAAATGGAATCACCATTACAGACCCATTGACTTGAAAAGGGATGTCCGTTCTAGTGATTCTATTTCTATGACTGTAAATGCATTTATATACTCTCTCTTACCAGAGCCTGAGCCTGACGTGCTCATGTCGTAGATGAGGTCTTTAATACACTTGTCGGGGGACATGAGACTCTGGTCATCCAGGGGCTCGTCCACGTCATTCTTGTGGGCCCTGTTGTAGGCACAGAGCTGGCCCTGCATCACACACACCCCCAGCAGGATGCTCACACACAGCAGGGCAGAGGGAACCAGGATGACCGCTGCCAGCTCCAGCCTGCCCCAGCCGGGCTCCTCCGATGGCCCTCTCTACATAGCCTACACAACACAGACACAGCAGCATACTATGTATTCTAAAACAGAGGGCCACATTCAGTAACAAGACTTGATCAGTAGATTCATGTGCAATGGCCCACACATTTGTGATATAAGATTTTTAAAATGTGGATGGAGAATGTTTAGGGATGGAAAAAAAGGATACATAGGCTAATACTTCTCATGATCCCTATGCCCTCTAGTGGTCCTTTTCAACTTTATTCATTAACCCATTACTGCCAACAACGTACAGTACATAATGTAGTAAAACACTGTACCAGCTTGTCTCCCAAAACGAAGGCACCATTCTGTTCACCAGCAGCTAACAATGTTATGAATGTGGTTGTGTCCCAAATGGCAACCTTTTCCCTATATAGTGCACTACCTTTGACCAGAACCCTATGGGGGTGCCAGGATAATTTACTCCAGGATCGTTTAGTCAGACCGAACCTGGCCTGGGTGCTATTCTGTTTAAAAACAACTTGTCATTGACTTGCCAAACGATGTTGTGTTTTAGTATGGCTGCAGAAATAGTCAGGCACCCAGGCTAGACAGAACACCATGAATCCAGAAAATGAATACAGCCCTTCAGCTAATCTAAATCCTCTCAGATCCTGAGAAATTTGAATTTGGCAGATGCAGAGCTAGGTTTGCAATTAAACAGATTTCTAAAAGTGAAGTTCTATGCCAAAAGCCGTAGAATTGCCAGATGTTCTCAGGCAATCAGATTCATCAACAGCACAATATACAGAAGCTGGGTTTTACTGGCCAAAAGTTTTATAAGTTCAGCTTGTTTTACCAATAATAAATTCCATGGAGTCATGAACTGACTGCAAAATGCATCTTGGAGATATGCATCTAGACTCAATCACTTAACAGATGAACAGGCTCCGGCTGTACTGCCAGACATATACAGTAAGTAAGTCTAACTTTGTGTCGTTATTTTAATAAATTAATGAGCACTGACTGAATGACATTTATGCAAATGTCCTTGATTCTTTTAGTGGGTGGATTTGGGAACAATATGGTCAAAAACAACCACTTCATGGACAACAACATCTCCTTCTCAAACCCATTTAATAAGGTTAGAATGCTGGAATTACCATGGAAATACTAACTTATAGAATAATAAAGTAATCAAAAAATGATGTAATAAAGCAGTTATTTTTCCAAGTTGGAATAGCCTTACTATCAACAAAACAGAAAGTGCACTCTAACGCTTAAGTGGTGTCATGTTAGTTTGACCTCATGGTCTTATCCCCAATTGCAGCAATAGTCCTTTGAGTGTCCTCATCTAGTAAGACGTCTTGCAACATTGACAGGGTGAGAACTGTACACAGATTCAGATATGTGAACACCACAACCCAAGTCAACTATTTCATAACACGTCTTTCCCTTTGACCTAAAAGCATTTCTACCACACGTCCAAGTAGAGCAAAGCAAGTCACTCAATGAAGCATGCAAAACAACAGGAAAATCAGTCTCTAACCTCCATTGCCCTACTGGTGAAAAGATTGAATGTTTTTCAACATGAATATCAGTTGGATGCACTTGGGACATATCTACTTCCCCATGTGCTTTGAGTAGTTCACTTATCTGTGTCTAATGTTGGGAGGCTACTTTGGGAGTGGCATGTGTTAGGGCAGCAATCTCAAGTCATTCATCATTTTTGACATATTCAAATATTTGTATCCAAATCTCAATATCTCCATCTCTATATTTATGTGACGGTATGATACAACGTGTTCTTTAGACTAGGCACATTTCTGGAAATCAACGTCCCGTTTGAAATAAAGAGTAGTGCGTTTTATTTTTCCCAACAACACAGACTGCTACAATCATTTGCCTCAACCTGGAGGCAAACAGTCATTATGACAAGACCATAGAATCTATAGAACGGGCCTCCCCATTCAAAACAATGATGGCATAATGGGTGGACAGGTAGCCATTGCTAGCGTACCCATAGGAGCTAGATCATATATTCAATTTCTATGCACAAGGCAGATACAGCTTTTTACATGCACAGAGCCATTCTATTATAGATTTCAAACATTACAACTGTAGTGGGCTAACGTCATCTCATCTACCCTTTGAACTTTCAGTCGTGCTGTAACCGGTTACAATAAGATCCATAAACATATCTAATTGAGCTTGTTTTCACATGATCCATTGAGGTCAGCTTATATATGAGTTAACTGATTTCAAAAGATCAGCTGTGACTTGAAGGCTAATGAAATATACTGGACAAAGCATGTATAACAGGCATATGGAACAGAGCCTTCTGTTTATACTACTCATTCAAAATGTTTTAACTTTCATCAATGGAGTCCGGAAAGCTTCCATAAACTACACTGAACAAAAATATAAACTTTATTTTTATTTCACCTTTATTTAACCAGGTAAGCCAGTTGAGAACAAGTTCTCATTTACAACTGCGACCTGGCCAAGATAAAGCAAAGCAGTGCAATAAAAACAACAACACAGAATTACATATGGGGTAAAACAAAACATAAAGTCAAAAATACAAAAGAAAATATATATATATATATATATATATATATATATATATATATATATATATATATATATATATATATATATATATATATATATATATATATATATATATATATATATATATATATATATATATACAGTGTGTGCAAATGTAGCAGGTTATGGAGGTATGGCAATAAATAGGCTATAGTGCAAAATAATTACAATTAGTATTAACACTGGAATGATAGATGTGCAAGAGATTATGTGCAAATAGAGATACTGGGGTGCAAATGAGCAAAATAAATAACAATATGGGGTAGTTAGGTGGGCTAATTTCAGATGGGCTCTGTACAGGTGCAGTGATCGGTAAGGTGCTCTGACAACTGATGCTTAAAGTTAGTGAGGGAGATGAGTCTCCAGTTCAGAGATTTTTGCAATTCGTTCCAGTCATTGGCAGCAGAGAACTGGAAGGAATGGCGGCCAAAGCAGGTGTTGGCTTTGGAGATGACCAGTGAGATATACCTGCTGGAGTGCATACTATGGGTGGGTGTTGCTATGGTGACCAATGAGCTAAGATAAGGCTGGGATTTGCCTAGCAGTGATTTATAGATGGCCTGGAGCCAGTGGGTTTGGCGACGAATATGTAGTGAGGACCAGCCAACAAGAGCGTACAGGTCACAGTGGTGGGTAGTATATGGGGCTTTGGTGACAAAACGGATGGCACTGTGATAGACTACATCCAATTTGCTGAGTAGAGTGTTGGAGGCTATTTTGTAAATGACATCGCTGAAGTCAAGGATCGGTAGAATAGTCAGTTTTACGAGGGCATGTTTGGCAGCATGAGTGAAGGAGGCCTTGTTGCGAAATAGGAAGCCGATTCTAGATTTAACTTTGGATTGGAGATTCTTAATGCGAGTCTGGAAGGAGAGTTTACAGTCTAACCAGACACCTAGGTATTTGTAGTTGTCCACATACTCTAGGTCAGACCCGTCGAGAGTAGTGATTCTAGTCGGGTGGGCGGGTGCCAGCAGTGTTCGAGTGAAGAGCATGCATTTAGTTTTACTAGTGTTTAAGAGCAGTTGGAGGCTACTGAAGGAGTGTTATATGGCATTGAAGCTTGTTTGGAGGTTTGTTAACACAGTGTCCAATGAAGGGCCAGATGTATAAAAAATGGTGTCGTCTGCATAGAGGTGGATCTGAGAGTCACCAGCAGCAAGAGCGACATCATTGATATACACAGAGAAAAGAGTCGGCCCAATAATTGAACCCTGTGGCACCCCCATAGAGACTGCCATAGGTCCAGACAACAGGCCCTCCGATTTGACACATTGAACTCTATCTGAGAAGTAGTTGGTGAATCAGGCAAGGCAGTCATTTGAGAAACCAAGGCTATTTAGTCTGCCAATAAGAATGCAGTGGTTGACAGAGTCGAAAGCCTTGGCCAGGAAGATGAAGACGGCTGCACAGTACTGTCTATTATCGTTTAGGACCTTGAGCGTGGCTGAGGTGCACCCATTACCAGCTCGGAAACCAGATTGCATAGCGGAGAAGGTACGGTGGGATTCGAAATGGTCGGTGATCTGTTTGTTAACTTGGCTTTCAAATACTTTCGAAAGGCAGGGCAGGATGGATATAGGTCTGTAACAGTTTGGATCTAGAGTGTCACCCCCTTTGAAGAGGGGGATGACCGCGGCAGCTTTCCAATCTCTGGGGATCTCAGACGTTACGAAAGAGAGGTTGAACAGGCTAGTAATAGGGGTTGCGACAATTTTGGCGGCTAGTTTTAGAAAGAAAGGGTCCAGATTGTCTAGCCCAGATGATTTGTAGGGGTCCAGATTTTGCAGCTCTTTCAGAACATCAGCTGTCTGAATTTGTGTGAAGGAGAAGCGGGGGGGGGGGGGGCATGGGCAAGTTGCAGCGGAGGGTGCAGAGCTGGTGGCCGGGGTAGTGGTAGCCAGGTGGAAAGCATGGCCAGCCGTAGCAAAATGCTTATTGAAATTCTCGATTATTGTAGATTTATCGGTGGTGATAGTGTTTCCTAGCCTCAGTGCAGTGGGCAGCTGGGAGGAGGTGCTCTTATTCTCCATGGACTTTAGTGTCCCAAAACTTTTTGGAGTTAGTGCTACAGGATGCACATTTCTGTTTGAAAAAGTTCGCCTTTGCTTTCCTAACTGCTTGGGTATATTGGTTCCTAACTTCCCTGAAAAAGTTGCATATCGCGGGGGCTATTTGATGCTAATGCAGTACGCCACAGGATGTTTTTGTGCTGGTCAAGGGCAGTCAAGTCTGAGGAGAACCAGGGGCTATATCTGTTCTTAGTTCTGTATTTTTTGAATGGGGCATGTTTATTTAAGATTGAGAGGAAATTACTTTTAAAGAACAACCAGGCATCCTCTACTGACGGAATGAGATCTATATCCATCCAGGATACCTGGGCCAGGTCAATTAGGAAGGCCTGCTCGCTAAAGTGTTTTAGGGAGCGTTTGACAGTGATGAGGGGTGGTCGTTTGACCGCGGACCCATTACGGACACAGGCAATAAGGCAGTGATCGCTGAGATCCTGGTTGAAGACAGCAGAGGTGTATTTAGAGGGTAAGTTAGTCAGGATGATATCTATGAGGGTACCCATGTTTATGGATTTAGGGTTGTACCTGGTAGGTTCGTTGATAATTTGTGTGAGATTGAGGGCATCTAGTTTGGATTGTAGGATGGCTGGGGTGTTAAGCATATCCCAATTTAGGTCACCAAGCAGTATGAACTCTGAGGATAAATGGGGGGCAATCAATTCACATATGGTGTCCAGGGCACAGCTGGGGGCTGAGGGGGGGTCTGTAGCAAGCGGCAACAGAAAGGTGGATTTTTAGAAGTAGAAGCTCAAACTGTTTGGGCACAGACCTGGATAGTATGATAGAGCTCTGCAGGATCTCTACAGTAGATTGCAACTCCACCCCCTTTGGCAGTTCTATCTAGACGGAAAATGTTGTAGTTGGGGATGGAAATATCAGAATGGTGGCCTTCCTAAGCCAGGATTCAGACACTGCTAGAACATCAGGGTTGGCGGAGTGTGCTAACGGAGTGAATAATTAAAACTTAGGAAGGAGGTTTCTGATGTTAACGTGCAGAATACCAAGGCTTTTACGGTTACAGAAGTCAACAAATGATAGCTCCTGGGGAGTAGGAGTGATACTGGGGGCTGCAGGGCCTGGGTTAGCCTCTACATCACCAGAGGAACAGAGGAGGACTAGAATAAGGATACGGCTAAAGGCTTTAAGAACTGGTCTTCTAGTGCGTTGGGTACAGAGAATAAGGGGGCAGATTTCCGGGCGTTGTAGAAAAGATTCAGGGCATTATGTACAGACAAGGATATGGAAGGATATGGGTACAGTGGAGGTAAACCTAAGCGTTGGGTAACAATGAAAGAGATAGCATCACTGGAGGCACCGATTGAGCCGGTCTCGGTGTGTATTGGGGGGGTGGAACAAAGGAACTATTTGAGGCAGTTTCAGAGGGACTTGGGATTCTACAGTGAAATTGTATAATAAGAACTAACTGGAACAGCAATAAGCAAGGCATATTGACATGGGAGAGAGGCATAAAGCAATCACGGGTGTTATTAGAGAGAGCTAAGACAACAACTGGTAATCGCGATAAAGTTTGGGCTGAGGCTAAACAGGACAGGGTACCGTGTAAAAAGGAACAGTCCAGCAGGCATCAGCTGTGCAGCTGAGTGATCATAAAGGTCCAGTGAACAGCAATATGTGAGTCCGAGAGCAGTTCAAATTGGTGCTTCAGCACAGCAAGCAGGAAGCACGGTTGTAGTTTGCATGTGCTAGCGGGCCGGGGCTAGCAGATGGATCTTCGTGGTCGTCGCAACGGGAAGCCTGTTGAAACCACAGACGATTACGTCGGCAGACCAGTCATGATGGATCGGCAGGTGCTCCGTGTCGACTCTAGGAGGTCCCGTCTGGTTGACAGAGGGGTAGATAGCCAGGAGATGTGCCTGACTCAAGGCTAGCTCAAGGCTGATTAGCCAACAACAGCGTTCATTTGGTTGCAGCTAGCTAGTTGCGATTATCCAGTGTTAAAGGTCCAGTGATTCAGTGTAGCAACATGTAAAGTGTTGGTCCCATGTTTCATGAGCTGAAATAAAAAATCCCAGAAATGTTCCATATGCACAAGAAGCTTATTTTGCTCATATTTTGTGCATCCCTGTTAGTGAGCATTTCTCATTTGCCAATATAATCCATCCACCTGACAGGTGCGGCATATCAAGAAGCTGATTAAACAGCATGAGCATTACACAGGTGTACCTTGTGCTGGGGACAATAAAAGGCCACTTTAAAAATGTGCAGTTTTGTCACACAACACAATGCCACACGTCTCAAGTTTTGAGGGAGCATGCAATTGGCATGCTGACTGCAGGAATGTCCATAAGAGCTGTTGCCAGAGAATTTAATGTTAATTTCTCTACCATAAGCTGCCTCCAACATAGTTTTAGAGAATTTGGCAGTACGTCCAACCGGCCTCACAACCGTAGACCACGTGTATTGTGTTGTGTGGCCGAGAGGTTTGCTGATGTCAACTTTGTGAACAGAGTGCCCCATGGTGACGGTGGGGTTATGGCATGGGCAGGTATAAGCTACGGACAACAAACACAATTGCATTTTATCGATGGCAATTTGAATGCACAGCGATACCGTGACGAGATCCTGAGGCCCATTGTCATGCCATTAATTCACCGCCATCCCCTCATGTTTCAGGATGATAATGAACGGCCCCATGTCGCAAGGATCTGTACACACTTCCTGGAAGCTGAAAATTTCCCAGTTATTCCATGGCCTTTATCCTCAGACATGTCACCCATTGAGCATGTTTGGGATGCTCTGGATCGTTGTGTACGACAGTGTGTTCCAGTTCCCGCCAATATCCAGCAACTTCGCACAGCCATTGAAGAGGAGTGGGACAATATTCTACAGGCCACAAGTCACCAGCCTGATCAACTCTATGCGAAGGAGATGTGTCGCGCTGCATGAGGCAAATGGTGGTCACACCAGATACGGACTGGTTTTCTGATCCACGCCCCTACATTTTTCTAAAGTATCTGTGACCAACAGATGCATATCTGTATTCCCAGTAATGTGAAATCCATAGATTAGGGCCTAATTAATTTATTTCAATTGACTGATTTCCCTATATGAACTGTAACTCAGTAAAATGGTTGAAATTGTTGCATGTGGCGTTTATATTTTTGTTCAGCAAATATTTAAGAACTGGGTGAATTTAGACAGAATCACTCATTTGGTGCATACAAGGAAAAGTAGAGGAACCCTTGATGTAATCAGTTATTTTATTGGAAAACAATATTGCAACCCCTGGGCAGTCTGTCATACCAACTCCCTGACAAAATAAACAAAATAATGTCCTTTAAAAACAGCTATACACACTTCATCCACAGCAATAGTAGTCAGTTATATCATTGTCATCTCTAAGTGGCCTTTATGAGTAATTGATATAGTTGTTATCTTTTCTCTGTAGCTCTGGCAATTTGAAAGCGGTTGGACCGCTCCGCTTCGGTACATACAATCAATTTGGTAACCAGGGGAACGTACTCAAGGTCATAGCACAGGCACTGAAGAATAGAGGAGAGAGAGTCTGTACCCTCTTAAATAGAGGGAGGTCAGCAATAGTACCCTAAGTCGGTGTGTAGACTATTATCTATGAACAATTTATGAATGTTACCTTAAATGACTTTATCATAATGTGTGTGTTTATTCTTCACATCAAAGCGTCTAAGTATAATCTGATGATGGGTTTGGATCCTATATAGCATCACTGTAATGCAGTTATTACCATCCCTGGAGAGATACAGGGTGTGCAGGCCTTTGTTGAAGCTCAGCACAGTCTAATTCGACTTATCAACTATTCTAAACCTTACATATAAGATTCTAGATATAAGAAGCTTTATGACACTCACTATTTATAATATTTCTATGGAAAAGGTCAGATAGGTCAATTATATGATATGAAGAGTACAAGATTTTTTTCTATTCTAGGGTATTGGGCTATTTAGGGAGAGAGCCGATGTTACCTTTCAAGGTACAGCCCTGCCACACTGCTACTGCGAGCTGTACACTAAGTGTACAAAACATTAGAAACACCTGCTCCTTCCATGACAGACTGACCAGGTGAAAGCTTTGATCCCTTATTGATGTCACTTGTTAAATCCACTTCAAATCAGTGTTAATGAAGGGGAGGAGACAGGTTAAATAAGGATTTTTAAGCCTTGGGACAATTGAGACATGGATTGTGTATGTGTGCCATTCAGAGGGTGAATGTGCAAGACAAAATATTTAAGTGCCTTTGAACGGGGTATGGTAGTAGGTGCCAGGCGCACCGGTTTGAGTGTGTCAAGAACTGCAACACTGCTGGGTTTTTCATGCTCAACAGTTTCCTGTGTGTATCAAGAATGGTCCACCACCCAAAGGACAACCAGCCAACTTGACAACTGTGGGAAGAATTGGAGTCAACATGGGCCAGCATCCCTGTGGAACACTTTGTAGAGTCCATGCCCTGACGAATTGAGGCTGTTCTGAGGGCAAAAGGGGGTGCAACTCAATATTAGGAAGGTGTACACTCAGTGTATATCAATTTCAAGGCCTAAATTGTAATAAATATAAATTTGACCGATTATGTGTACAAACCCTCACATTCCTAATGACGAGTAACTTTGTGGAGAGCAAAGGAAAATGCCAGGAACTAAAAAGGGAGAAGCATTTATACAGCTTCAAAATCTACAACTTCAAACAACACCATAACTAACTGCAGATCTTCCATACTGAGCAGTAACAGAAGTCAGATGACATTAAAACATAAAAGATGAGAACGTTTACACCACTAAACTACATTTCATAGAAACACTAAAGGAGCAACAATCGATTTCTAAGCATTTCATACAGCCAGCATACAGGCATAGGCTACATACTGGGGTCACCGAGTCAAGAATAGCAACATGTACTGACAGCTTTAACTAGCCTTCCTCTAAGCCCTCTACCTGCGACAAAGCAGACGTTTCACTCTACCAATTCCACACGCCTGGCCTGACGAGGTGTTTATAAACCTGATGGGCGGATCACTGGCTGGTGGCTGGTAACCTCTGACAACATTATGTCACAGGATATGCAAGGCCAATCAATGGTAGCTCAGCTCATCTGGCTAGACCACAGTCTGAGTGGGAAATCCCTCCGGGAATGCGCTCTAGCTACTGATGATGTCTGCGTGGGTTTTCTTCTAATTCTTTCCTTTATTACTCTTTCCTTTGGTAGAATAACCACAGGTCAAGCTGAGATTATTGAATGGGTAAGGGCCATATTGTGGAGGTGTGTTTGAGTTTCGAAACCATGTGGTTAAATTCCACAACCATGTGGTTAAATTGCCCAACCATAATGATTGGGCAATAGATTCTAATAACAGTACAATAGACTTGGCAATAAGTATCATAACTTCATTGCTACCACATAAGTACCTGGATGCAGATGCAGGGTCTCATTGTTGCAGAAGTCTGTGAAGCAGCAGTTTCTCTTGGAGACGTTCCGGGAGCTGTAGCAGAAGACCTGTCCCCTCATCTCGGCCGGGGACAGACAGGACTTGACAGCCTCCTCCTTCCCGTTGATCAGCATCACAGAGTTCCAGCAGGCCCCGTCTGCACCCGTCTCACAGGTGTTGTTGGCACATAGCTGGCACACACACTTCAGAGCTGAAACGCAACAGGGTGACATCAGATGTCTGGCTTTCTACTAAGACATTTCTTAGTACACGCCTAATTTTGTGATTTTCTAGAGCCTTTCTTGCCAGGCTTGCATATCACTTAGACTTCTGAAGAACAACATTAACAACTGTATACCTCATGTTTTAGGACAAGCAGTCTCAGCTACAGCATGGAATACAGTCGTTTTTATCAATTTAGAAACACTTTGCATTCATTATTTCAGTACTACAATAGGAAGTGCTGAGTGGCCATTGGCCAATGTCTACTACAGACCTCCATGGATAGTGACCATTATGGCTAGTGGCCATTCACTCTTTTGAAGTGGAGGCTTCCTGCCTGTTATGTAATCCTGGACATGCTCTTAAAAAATTAATAAAAGATTACCCTATAATGCCTCTTAGTTTAAACACCCAGATAATATTGTGCTCTTCTTGGATTGTCTACCCACTCCTACCCTGTTTTGATAAAGCCACGAGGACAGCAGGGCTCTCCTACTCACAAGGAATTGGTGGTCTATTCTGTAGGATGGGACCAGTGGAGGAAGGGGAGGACCATCCTCCTTAGTGAATTTAATAAAAATAGAGAAATATTAAAAAAGTTATTCTATTCTAAATATATTGACGTCACCAAATAATTGATTAAAACACACTGTTTTGCAATGAAGGTCTACAGTAACCTTAACAGCACTCTGTAGGGTAGCACCAGGGTGTAGCCGGAGGACAGCTAGCTTCTGTCCTCCTCTGCGTACATTGACTTCAATACAAAACCTAGGAAGCTCATGGTTCTCACCTTCTTCCATAGACAGTAATTATGGTAACACGTTAGTTCTATTAGCTATGTTCACTATGACTTTTAGCTAATATGGTGACAACAATGTAGGCTGTGTGTAGCGGTTATGATATGAAGGTTTGGCTTGGAAAGGTTTTATCACTTGGTCACAGACAGCTGATGTCTTGTGCATTGAAGTCCACAGGCGAAGGGAAAAGGTTAGAGGAGGAGAGCGCGGAGGTGCGAGAAGGAATACAACGAGCTGTTTGTATGTGGCTGCTATGAAAGTGAACTGTGTTGTGTGTGATCAGGGATGTATTCATTCCGCCTAATATGTTGAAAAACTTTTCTTAAACGAAGCAAACAGAACAAAGATAAACATACCTGAATTTGTCCAATAGAAACTCTCGTTTGCAACTGTTGGACTAATTATTACACCCTAGAACAGCTAGATGCAGGCAAGAGTGTGCAAGGCGGTATAGAATGTGTCACCAAAAAAATTCTCGACCTGTGTGCACCTACGTTGTAAACTTTCATTCATAGGCTAGGTTGTAGCAACCTCATGATGGGTATAGGGAAAATGTGAGTATCATGTAGTACCCTAAACCTATCGATGTTACATTGAACTGGGTGAATGGAATATGAATGACAGTCATCCAATATGCTGTAATAGAAATAAGGCCATGCTCATGAAAATAATCGTCCTCCCTCATCTTAAAAACGACACCGACCGCCACTGGATGGGACTATGTCCAACTTTTATAGGAGCATAGGAAATGTTTGCCTGGTTGATATGGAGCTGTTGGAAATCGCTCAGGTCCTTATCTCAGGTCCCTGCTACATGTCTGAGCAAAGCTTGATTTCTCTGACTATCAGAACGCCCCACAACACTGCTGATAAATATACTAATCCATTCCAAATAGATGTTCTGTTGTAAACAGTGTGGTAATGACTTCACTTGTCCATATGCCTTTACAATATTCCTAGGTGACTTCCGCCATCACTCAGTTGTTGTTGTTATATATATATATATATATACATACACATATACACAGTGGGGGAAAAAAGTATTTAGTCAGCCACTAATTGTGCAAGTTCTCCCACTTAAAAAGATGAGAGGCCTGTAATTTTCATCATAGGTACACGTCAACTATGACAGACAAAATGAGAAGAAAAAATAAATCCAGAAAATCACATTGTAGGATTTTTAATGAATTTTTTTGCAAATTATGGTGGAAAATAAGTATTTGGTCAATAACAAAAGTTTCTCAATACTTTGTTATATACCCTTTGTTGGCAATGACACAGGTCAAACGTTTTCTGTAAGTCTTCACAAGGTTTTCACACACTGTTGCTGGTATTTTGGCCCATTCCTCCATGCAGATCTCCTCTAGAGCAGTGATGTTTTGGGGCTGTCGCTGGGCAACACGGACTTTCAACTCCCTCCAAAGATTTTCTATGGGGTTGAGATCTGGAGACTGGCTAGGCCACTCCTTCGTTGCCCGGGCGGTGTGTTTGGGATCATTGTCATGCTGAAAGACCCAACCACGTTTCATCTTCAATGCCCTTGCTGATGGAAGGAGGTTTTCACTCAAAATCTCATGATACATGGCCCCATTCATTCTTTCCTTTACACGGATCAGTCGTCCTGGTCCCTTTGCAGAAATACAGCCCCAAAGCATGATGTTTCCACCCCCATGCTTCACAGTAGGTATGGTGTTCTTTGGATGCAACTCAGCATTCTTTGTCCTCCAAACACGACGAGTTGAGTTTTTACCAAAAAGTTCTATTTTGGTTTCATCTGACCATATGACATTCTCCCAATCCTCTTCTGGATCATCCAAATGCACTCTAGCAAACTTCAGACGGGCCTGGACATGTACTGGCTTAAGCAGGGGGACACGTCTGGCACTGCAGGATTTGAGTCCCTGGCGGCGTAGTGTGTTACTGATGGTAGGCTTTGTTACTTTGGTCCCAGCTCTCTGCAGGTCATTCACTAGGTCTCCACGTGTGGTTCTGGGATTTTTGCTCACCGTTCTTGTGATCATTTTGACCCCACGGGGTGAGATCTTGCGTGGAGCCCCAGATCGAGGGAGATTATCAGTGGTCTTGTATGTCTTCCATTTCCTAATAATTGCTCCCACAGTTGATTTCTTCAAACCAAGATGCTTACCTATTGCAGATTCAGTCTTCCCAGCCTGGTGCAGGTCTACAATTTTGTTTCTGGTGTCCTTTGACAGCTCTTTGGTCTTGGCCATAGTGGAATTTGGAGTGTGCCTGTTTGAGGTTGTGGACAGGTGTCTTTTATACTGATAACAAGTTCAAAACAGGTGCCATTAATACAGGTAACGAGTGGAGGCTGTGAGAGCCAGAAATCTTGCTTGTTTGTAGGTGACCAAATACTTATTTTCCACCATAATTTGCAAATCAATTCATTAAAAATCCTACTGTGATTTTCTGGATTTTTTTCCTCAATTTGTCTGTCATAGTTGACGTGTACCTATGATGAAAATTACAGGACTCTCTCATCTTTTTAAGTGGGAGGACTTGCACAATTGGTGGCTGACTAAATACTTTTTTCCCCATATATATATATATACACATACACACACAACCAGTCAAAAGTTTGGACACACCTACTCATTCAAGGGTTTTTCTTTGTTTGTAGTATTTTCTTATTGTTGAATATTAGTGAAGAAATCAAAACTATGAAATAACACATATGGAATCATGTAGTAACCAAAAAAGTGTTAAACAAATCAAACTATATTTTATATTTGAGATTCTTCAAAGTATCCTTTTGCTTTGATGACAGCTTTTCACACTCTTGGCATTCTCTCAACCAGCTTCATGAGGTCGTCACCTGGAATGCATTTCAATTAACAGGTGTGCCTTGTTAAAAGTTAATTTGTGGAATTTAATGCGTTTGAGCCAATCAGTTGTGCTGTGACAAGATAGGGGTATCTTCTGTATACCACCCCTATTTGGTAAAAGTCCATATTATGGCAAGAGCAAAGAGAAACGACAGTCCATCATTACTTTAAGACATGAAGGTCAGTCAATCTGGGACATTAAGAACTTTCAAAGTTTTTTCGAGTGCAGTCGCAAAAACCATCAAGCGCTATGATGAAACTGGCTCTCATGGGTCTTCCTCAGAGTTACCTCTGCTGCAGAGGATAAGTTCATTACAGTTAACTGCACCTGAGATTGCAGCTCAAATAAATGCTTCACAGAGTTCAAGTATCAGACACATCTCAACATCAACTGTTCAGAGGAGACTGCGTGAATCAGGCCTTCATGGTCGAATTGCTGCAAAGAAACCACTACTAAAGGACACCAATAAGAAGAAGAGACTTGCTTGGGCCAAGAAACACGAGCAATGGACATTAGACCAGTGGAAATCTGTCCTTTGGTCTGATTAGTCCAAATTTGAGATTTTTGGGTTCAACCGCCGTGTCTTTGTGAGATGCAGAGTAGGTGAACGGATGATCTCCACATGTGTGGTTCCCACCGTGAAGCATGGAGGAGGTGTGATGGTGTGGGGTGCTTTGCTGGTGACACTGTCAGTGATTTATTTAGAATTCAAGGAACACTTAACCAGCATGGCTACCACAGCATTCTGCAGCGATACGCCATCACATCTGGTATGCGCTTAGTGGGACTATCATTTGTTTTTCAACAGGACAATGACCCAAAACACACCTCCAGGCTGTTTAATGGCTATTTGACCAAGGAGAGTGACGGAGTGCTGCATCAGATGACCTGGCCTCCACAATCACCCGACCTCAACCCAATTGAGATGATTTGGGATGAGGTGGACCGCTGAGTGAAGGGAAAGCAGCCAACAAGTGCTCAGCATGTATGTGGGAACTCCTTCAAGACTGTTGGAAAAGCATTCCTCATGAAGCTGGTTGAGAGGCCAAGAGTGTGCAAAGCTGTCATCAAGACAAAGGTTGGCTATTTGAAGAATCTAAAATGTAAAATATATTTTGATTTGTTTAACACTTTACTACATGATTCCATATGTGTCATTTCATAGTTTGTCTTCACTATTATTCTACAATGTTGAAAATAGTAAAAAAATTAAGAAAAACCCTGGAATTGGTAGGTGTGTCCAAACTTTTGACTGGTAGTGTATATATACACACACACACACACTGTCATAAGTCTTTGGGCCCGTTTCCAAGATTGAGCCTATTCCTGACAAAGCATTTTTAACACGAGCATGCTTTTGCTCCAGGAGTAGGCATCAAATGGGTCTGGCTGCCTGACACGGACCAAACATTTAATAAAAATTGTAATTGAAACAATTGCCACTAATTTTGAAGAAGAAAAAACTAAATGATGACCGCAACACACCTTAATTGTGAGGTCAGTTCCTGATAAGATATACTTTATTGGCCCTTAACTTACAGAGAATGGAAATGTGTCTTAATGCTCACAACTCAACCCAACCGAGACGCACACATACCCCTGAGGGGCTGGAAGCAATGGGTCAGCCACCGCGCAGAGCCCCTGGAGCAATAATAGGGGTTTAAGTGCATTGCTAAAGGGCACAACGGCAGGCGATGTATCTAGGATGATGCTGGCTCACTCCACACCAGATTTTCCCATCTGAGCTGGGATCAAAACTGGGCTACCTGCCGCTCCATCTACCATTGAGTGTTTACATTATACTCTGCCCTTCCCATTAGCCATAGTGAAAGGAGAGGTCTGTATCTTAGTGTGCCTGTCCACTGGCAAGCATGGGCTGGCACACTAAAATACAAGAGGGTTTCTGGCATAAGAGGCACTCTACTGTGAACAGATGTCTGGTAAATTATACCTAATCATAAAGTGCAAAGAGAGAGAGAAAGTAGCTGCACTCAACCTAACCTGTCAATGGTAAGACTGCAAATGAGGCAGAGTAGATGAGTGCCTATTTACAAGAAAGAGAACTAAATGGGGGAAAAACAGCTCTGACAGGCAGGCAACCTGTGGCTCTGGATATGTCTTAATTGCCATCTGTGGTTCACAATCATGACAAATCACTATAAAACCACATTGCAAATTGTTTTAATACTAGCAGCTTGTACTGTTTACAAATGGTCATTGATTTGAACTGTACTATACGAATGCAACTCATAATTCTCTCATAGTGATGATTGGGTCTCACTTGCCATTCTTGCTTATCCCCATGGGTAGGGTTGTGATGATTATGGAGTTTGGGTTAACAAATAATTGTTATGCAAATGGGAACACAGTTATTGTAATAAATCATGTTTGTAGAAATTTTTTTTAACCTTATAATGCATCATAATGCATCTATTAATTTATTTTTTAATTGGTTGAAATCTATAAACTACACTCCCCTCATATGTATTTGGACAGTGAAGCTAAAATTTTAAATTTGGCTCTATACTCCTGCATTTTACAAACGTTTCATATGAGGCGACAGTACAGAATGTCCAAAATAGGGGGAGGTCTGTCTAACTCTTTTTTTTGGCTTTGGGGAGAATTGTGTGCGTTTTATTTTATTGTTTTAATTGGGCTCAAGGGAGGGTAGTGCTATTTTCACTGGTTTACATTCGTCCTTTTGCAGATTTTACTATATAATTTCTTCCATCCTAGCCAAAATGTCCTCATCTGCTTGCATGCACCTCCCCTATCAAGGTGTTTTGGTCCTTCCCTTATGCACTGCACTTTTCCACGCGCTAACTATACCGCAGGTCAATATTGTCTACCAGTCTGTCTATCCTTGCCCTCTACTCTAATAGTGGTAGGTGAAACGTCTGTCTAGATCTGCAATAGGCTAACTACTAGCAATCATACCACACATACAGTCCTTCAAAGCTGCACCAATTTTCTATATAAATCCACAAGAACAAGGAGGAATAGCTGATAGGCAGCGGAGGCCATGTGCGTCATTGCGCATTGAAAGAACATTGAAGACATGAGACACGCAGCTCAAAATGCTTCTCTATTGATCTTGTTTCGGGACAATACAATGATCCTAGACTAGCCTACAATACCACAATGCAATGAAAAATTAATATTAATTGATTTAACTTCTATAGCACTTAATTACAAAAATAATCTCAAAGCGCTTGAAAAAGCAAAAACAATAAAATAATACAGATATATGATAGAGTAGGTCTGGATTACGATTTTTAGCCGAAGTTGAAAGTTGAGTGTTTCAAGCCTCCAACAGATGGAGCGACAGTCAAGAAGGAACCACATGGGATGAGCACAGTTCACTCCGTTGAAGGCGTCTCACCCGCGCCTTGCGGTTCCTGTGGTCTGACAAATTTCTCCGTAGCTGTTGACTCTCTGGTCTTGTAGAACGAGATTAAGTTTGTTTGAGCTCTCACTCACTCAGGATAATTATGACAGCTGCTCATAACTTCAGATGATAATTTCCTGAGCAATCAAATTGTCACTTCCAGCTCACCATGCATTGTAGTCCTATTTATTGAGTTAGGAGACCGTCGAAACAGAAAAGAAATAGTCTGATGTTTTCAAATCAAAATACACCAGCTAGCATTGCTACCGTAGCATTGCTAGCTAGCCATCTTTAGAAATATGATTTTCCATGAATTCATAGGCAGGAAACAAATAGATGCAATCCAGACTTAACCTATACACATTTGGCTGTTCAAAATCAAAAAAATCTAAGAAAGTAAGAAGATTCAAACAAAAAACACGGGGAAAATATTTAATATTTACAAATGTACAGAAGCCCTCTGCCTAAGCGACCTCGTGGTGCCACGGCAATCACGGAACTTCAATTGCATTATTGTTTTTAAGTGGGTACAAAATTCTACTCTAGGCTGTAAACTGCAGTGAAGGTGTAATTTGAATAACGAAGCAAAAGCCCTATGATTTGAATGATTCATTCCATTTGGATCACTCATAAATTTATAAGGTCTAGAAAGGCACAGTAGGAGGCCAGTCTGGCTGTATTTCTATTAAACTTCTGACACTGAGATGCACCGTCTGTTATGGCTCATCATTCTCCCAAGTCGTCCTATAATAATGTGGCCACATATGCGCCCAGCAGGCCCAGTTATTCAGGAAAGTGACTCATTTACATTTACATTTTAGTCATTTAGCAGACGCTCTTATCCAGAGCGACTTACAGTTAGTGAATACATATCTTTTATTTATTTTTATACTGGCCCCCCGTGGGAATCGAACCCACAACCCTGGCGTTGCAAACGCCATGCTCTATCAACTGAGCTACATCCCTTCCGGCCATTCCATCCCCTACCCTGGACGACGCTGGGCCAATTGTGCGCCGCCCATGAGTCTCCCGGTCGCGGCCGGCTGCGACAGAGCCTGGATTCGAACCAGGATCTCTAGTGGCACAGTTAGCACTGCGATGCAGTGCCTTAGACCACTGCGCCACTCAGGAAATATCTACACTCGCTTCCTATTGGGAAAACAAAGCTGTAAAGTCACAATCTTGATGTAGTCATTATGTGCAAGGAATATGGGACCAAATACTGAACTTTTGACTACTTTAAATACACTAAGTGAATATATCCAAATACTTATGACTTCTTCAAATGGGGGGACTGGATAAATAAAGTGCTTTCATTTTGTCACGTCTCCTCCCGTTGCTCCCCTCTGCGCTCTGATTCGCCGGTCTACTGAGCCACCGGTCTGAGTGCACCACCTCGGTAACACCGGAATGGAAACCCAACGCACCCTAATCACCTCATCATCTCATCACCACCCATATATAGCCCTGGACTGTTCAGTGTTGTGTTGTGTGTGATTGTTAGTGTCATGTCGTCACTCGCTTTTTGTTGTTCTCTTGCTCAGTGTTAAGTAAACCTTTACATTGTTAATTCCTGCGTCTGCGTCCTGCCTCTTCGTATCCTCAGTACTCGTCACACATTTCTAAACAGTAAAACAGATATGTATTAAAATACCCTCAAATAAAGGTGACATTCTGTGTCACCTCATATAAAACATTTGATGTCAAATCCAAAATGCTGGAGTATAGAGCCAAATTTAAACTGTAGCTTCACTGTCCAAATACATACGGAGGGATGTGTACCTAATGAATACAACACAGCTTTGGTGACACCCAGTCTTACAAACCGCTATGAACTTTTGAAAATGAATGTTCTCCTCCCGACCGTGTTGTTCTGCTCGTAAAATTATTGCCAACTTGACCCATTTCATGTAAAAATGAAAAACGTATATTTAATAAACTATATCTACTTGAATATGAAGTTGAATTCCCTTCTCCTAAAATGAATGTATTAAGACGATTATGATTATTCATTATATGTAAAGTTAATGGTTATTGTCCATATTTGTCGGCTACACAATTATACGATAGTTGTGCCAGCCCGACCCATGCGGAAATGGCAGGCCTCTCTGGCCCCTGCCCATGGGTCAGGCACACTAAGACACAGTCCTCTCCTTTCACTATGGCTAATGGGAAGGGCAGAGTACAGTTATGTAGATGGCTCCTGTACAGTCATGTAGATCAGTATTCCTCGATAGTGAGAATGTACTCCTGCTCTATCTAGAATGTCCAAATAAGTGATGAGGAAGATGGAAGTCTTCACTCATCACAACATTGAGGATTTTTTACATTTATATTTTACCTTGTAATCATTTAGCAGATGCTCTTATTCAGTGCGACCTACAGTGCTTTCAACTAAGTAGGAAAAACAACCACATAGCACAGTTATTGCAAGTGTAGCACACGGGGATGTGTGAAACTTACTCCTCACATGCTGACCACACCGCTCGAGTCGCGTGCGCAAGCGTTGCAAAATAAATGTACCCATACATGTTATTCAATCATTGCACCCACACTGCTCACACGCGTCTGCGTAGCCAGGCGCTAAACTAGAACTTGGTTCTATTTGTGATGCTTGATGTGCTGCAAGTCCTGCCTCTCCCATCTCCTCATTGGTTTTTAGGAGCATATACCCACGTGGGTGATTGAAAGATGAAGTGAGCCATATAAAGTCCAAAGAAGAAGAAGCCTGAAGGAGGAGAGATTACTAGAAACAAATTCTGTTTAACCTTTTATCTGTGGATTAATTGTCAGAGTAGAGGACCTTGTGCATTTCAGGTAAAATAACAACCCAATGTTTATATACCAGGACAAATTAGCTAGCAACAGCAAGCTAGCTAGCTAAATTGCCATAAATGTGTAAGGCTTTTCGACCTGTTCCCCAAATTAAATAATTGGTTCAGAGTTCGTTTTGATATTTCAACCTGCGTGTCCTGATCCTGTCTGGTGTGGGTGGACAAAATCAACATGGGTGCGATGGCGCACGAGGACGCACATAGTAGTGTATTTTCCCCCCTAATTTACATAAGCCATTTAGCAGGTTTTACTATATAATGTCTTCTATATAGCCACATTTCCACATCTGCTTGCATATGCCTCCCCTATCAAGGTGTTTTGGTACTTCCCTTACGCTCTACAGGTCAATACTGAACAAAAATATAAACAACATGTAAAGTGATGGTCCCATGTTTCCTGAGTTGAAATAAAATATTCCAGACATTTTAAACAGCATGATCCTTACACAGGTGCACCTTGTGCTTGGGACAATAAAAGACCACTCTAAAATGCATAGTTTTGTCACACAACACCACAGGTGTCTCAAGTTGAGGGAGCGTGCAATTGGCATGCTGACTGCAGGAACATCCACCAGAGCTGTTGTCAAGGGATTTTAATGTTAAATTCTCTAACACATGACGCCTCCAACGTCGTTTTAGAGAATTTGGCAGTACGTCCAACCCGACAAAAAAATCGCAGACCACGTGTAACCACCCCAGCCCAGGACCTCCACATCCGGCTTCTTCTCCTGCGGGATCGTCTGAGACCAGCCACCCGGACAGCTGCTGAAACTGAGGAGTATTTCTGTCTGTAATAAACCCCTTTTGTGGGGGAAAAACTCATTCTGATTGGCTGGGCCTGGCTCCCCAGTGGGTGGGCCTGGCTCCCAAGTGGGTGGGCCAATGCCCTCCCATGGCTGCGCCCCTGCCCAGTCATATTCAATCCATAGATTAGGGCCTAATGAATTTATTTCAATTGACTGATTTCCTTGTATGAACTCTAACTCAGTAAAATCTTGAAAATCTTTGTTCAGTATAGTATACCAGTAAACTGTCTATCCTGCCCTCCATCCATAGTGACAATAGT